GATAATTCTCTTGCTCGAAATCGAGATAATTTGAATCGCGAGTCAAAGATCGCGTTAAATCGTAATTGCGGGGATAATTTTTTCCTGACCACCACTTAAGAAATACTGATTTGTTCTAATTAAGAGATTTATTTGAAACGTCGAGAAAAAGGAAAATGTAGAATATTGTAAGTGTGAATGCATTCAGAAAAATTCTCTCAGTGTGAAAAATATTGTGCGTTTATTTTTTTTAATATTGCAAACTTCTTCACTCAAACCAAGATCAATGCACGAATCTAATCAGCGAAACATTTTTCTGTTCCAGAAACGAAAGCAGAACGTAGCTGCCTCGATCTGCGAGTCGGTGAGTCAAACAAAAAAAAATTGGTAATAGAAAGACAAAAAGTCTTTCCATGTAATGCATGTTTATAAATCAATGCGATTTACTTTGCTGTAGTGTAGTGTGTGTATGTGCAGTCCAATAAAGCACACTGTTCGAAACAATTGAAAGATCGCTTTCACAAATAATAATATTAGTGATTATGCATTTTTATAAATTTGGCAAATTTTGAAATATTTTTCCCCCAATGTATATATATTTATTAATTGTTTGACTTACTTAAATTAATGATTGGTCAATAATTTTTGTTGAAAAAAATTTTGATTGATTAAACACTAACTGGCAAATGCCATTGAAGTATGGAGTATACGCTCTGAATTCAAAATTTTGTAATATTATTCAGTTTTATTGAATGCGATCTTCCAGGTGTCTCGATCAGTGCACCAACGCGCAGAAATTGCGCCATAGACATTGCGCTACAGAAAATGCGCAATCACATCACCCGCCTCGATAGATCTTCCGCCGGTCATTAATTTTTTCAGTTTTCTCTGTCACGTGAGCTCGCGATTGCATTTCGTAAAGTACAGAGATCGTTATTAAATAAAATTCAATATCGTGCGGCGTCTGTGCAAAGCGATCTAACGTGATTACTTAAACTGCTCGTGAAATTAATTTCACGATCGTCGGAAAATTTTCAGGTTTCAATTTTTCACTTTACCAGATAGAATTTGCGGAAGAGTCGCGAGTGAACTTCGCAAAAATATTGTGGAGTTATTATACGCAAAAG